TGGAAGCAAAATTGCTCTTCGGTACCCGCAGAGAGAACATTTTCGAAAGCTGGTCATATAATGAATGAAAGGAGAAATAGAATAAAACCAGAAAAATTACATACTCTATTTTTTTAATAAAAAGTTGTAATAAAAATTGATAATCATTTTCATATTTACAATCTTTGAAACAAGAAACAGATCGATATAATTCTAAATATTATTTCTTTTTTTATAAATATATCACTAAGATTGTTGTGTGTTCAAAATTTTGCCTAGAATCGTACTATAATTGTTTCTTAAATTAATTTATCAAAATTCCATTTATTTATGCTCTGCTCTCCGGAAAACCGAACTGACCGAGCGAAATAAAAAAATCGCTTTGTCTCTGCCAACCGTAGAATTGACATATTTTCGGAAGATCTATAAAATATATCAAGAATCCGCTTCATGGTTGAAAAACTACACTCAACAGACGCACTCGTAGATGATACAGTAAAAATTAATATTAAATCATATAATTTTTAGTACATCTGAGCAACGCCGTCTTATTATTAACACGTAATTAACTGTTTTGTCACTTCAAAAAGCTGGGACCACAGTTTGACGAACTTTGTTAGTTACGCTTTCGTAACATCGTAACGTTCTATATTTAAATCCGAGTTTATATTTGACAACGACAATTTATTTTTCGATATTAACTTCGTATAAACAAATAAAATAATAAATAACCGATTATTTAAATTCATACTAAATGCTTAAAACAATAAATGAATTATCTAAATTTACAAACATCTATGTTTTATATAACTAATCTCTCTAATTTTAAGATGTAAAGTTATATGTATAAGATTTGCAACTAATACTACACAAACTTTTTCTGAAATAAAATATTTTATAATAATAGATACAACCTGTATTAGAGCAACGCTTATCGTACCTTGTGTTCATACATGCATATAATTTTTTTTGTTTTTTTTTTTTTTTGCTATTTACGCGAAAGCAATTGGAAAACTAACAAAATATGGTTCTAATCGCTTTTCTCTAATGAAACCAATCCTCTGAATTTAACTTTAGTGTTGTATTATTTAATAACAATATTGAATATATTACAGAAGTTCCTCCTTAATTTGAACTCAGAGTAATCCGAAAATTAAATGTCTTCAGAGTAATTCTTGAACTCGGATGAATGTCGGAATCGAAGGACAAAACATTTCGGTTTATTATATAATTATATTTTCCAAAAGACAATTTATGCGCATTACAGAGATCTACCGAACATTTTGACACCAAAATCTAACGTGGAATTTTTTTTAAATCGGATAAGAAAGTGGAAAAGTTACGGCAGAAGCCCGGGATTCGCCAGGCAAAAATACAATGTAATGTAACTACATAAATGTTTGTGTTTTGAATCTATCAACTTATGTATAATTAATTATAAAATAGCAAATAAATTTCACTAATCATCGGTGCTGTAGTTACAGATTAAAAATATATAAACGAAATAATATATACTGTACATTTATTAATGCATCTGCGTATGTAAATGTATAATATATAGAATGTATGTAGAAATAATTATAAATTTATTTTATTCAGACCTCTCTGTAGCTGTAAGTAATAACCGGAAGGCANAATAAAATGTAAATTGAATTTTATCATAACGAGTTTGCTTGAATTTCCTTTCTTCTGAGATCGCAGCAATGCGCGACGGGTAAGCTAGTTTACTATAAAAATGTGTGTCAATTGTCTGATCGTGCTTCAATTGTTAAATATTTACGTTAAAGCAGTAGCGTACCGTAGTGGGGGCGGCACTTTTTAGGGGATGGCAAAATTTCACAATACTGTAAATATAATATCTTGTAAAAATTTGAAACATCCTAATCTATACTTGCATTGCGCCTACGATAGTGCTATCGTCCGGACAGTCCGGGAATCGGCTCGCTGGGTGAACTAGTAGCTGTTTCATCCCAAGGTCTTAGATTATCAGGTTGCCTCATAGAGAAAAAACGCTTCTCATTGGTTGCTTATTTGACGTCACTCGTAGTCGAAAACAAAACATCTTACTATGTCCTTATGGTAGAAACGTTACCGATCAGAGGCTCGTAGCTTTAATTANATATAGAATGTATGTAGAAATAATTATAAATTTATTTTATTCAGACCTCTCTGTAGCTGTAAGTAATAACCGGAAGGCACTGAGATTTTCATTAGTAGTAGTTTAGAAATGAAGTGAAAATTTTCGCGTAAAAGTTTTAATTTTAAAACCTGCGGATAAGGACAATATGGGGTTGTTACAACAAGAGACACACTAAAGAAAAAATATAATAAATAAGATAAATCTTGTGAAAAACTGAATTAACCTACAATTTGGAATTTTAACATAAAAAGAAAACTGAAAATTAAACATCAGCAATGAAAAAAAATACGGTAACCATACTTTTTAAATCTATATATATAAAAATGAATGTATGTGTGTGTGTCTGTGTCCTTCATGCATTACCACACCGTTTATCCGATTGCCGTGAAACTTTGGGAAGTTGTTTAATATACTCTGGCGAAGGTTTGTGACATAGTACGATTGCCATAAAACTTTGGAAAGATTTTTAAATTTTTTAATACACTCCCGCGAAGTACATTTATCCTACGATAGATGGCGCGCGTTTACACGAGCATTCGCGCACAGCGTGTTCGATCGATTTCAAATTGTGAAGACCATTTCCCCCGTTCAAAAAATATCTCTATATATGCATTTTTTAACTGTTATTTACGATATTTATAATAATTTTTGTTTAATCACTTTATTTCAACTTTTTTTGATAAGTATGTATTCGCTCGAACTTCGTTAAAATCTTAACTGTACCTCGAACAACGACCGAAGTCGTAGGAAGAAATTCGCCTATTTTACCGATCTAGGTATCCCCCTTTTCCAAATTTTAATATCGACTCAAAATAATTTAAAAAGACAAATTACAATAAAACGGTTTATTATCCAACTATCAGAAATTTCACAACATGCCAAGGAATAAAGGAAGGAGCAATTAAATAATTAAAATTATAAAGAATTTAAAAATATATATAAAAATGGGGAATATCGCACTTCTGACAATCGCAGCGAGTGTGTGGGCTAAATTTGGAGAATCCGTGCTTCTCGCATGGACAACTGTATGTGGCCGGCTCACGCGTCGAAAAACCTTCCGATTTATTCGTGTACGCACCAGACGGAAAAACAAAAAATATCGTGTATCCA